ATCTCAGGGCTGGGGAGGCAGAGACAAGGAGATCCCTGGGGTTTCCTGGTGGGCTAGTTTAGCTGAATCAGTGAACCCCAGGTTCGGAGAGAGACCTTGTCTCCAAAAATAAGGTAGAGAACAACTGAAGAAAATATCTACATTCAACTGTACCCACACGCACAAAGAGCTTTGGAATGTATTCACTCAACAAAAATCTGTACTATACACTTACTAAACCCCTTTCACACACTTATCATTTAGTCACCAGAACAATTTTGTGAGGTAGAAGTTATGCCTTATGGCCATTTTGTAAGAGACTTGGTGTGGCTGTTATTCCTGGCACATATAAGAAGCCAAAATCCAAAGGCCTTCTTTGAGCCCAGTCCTGCCTCCCTTTAGCTGCATGGCCTTGCCTTTCTGGGTACCATCTTCTGTTGAACCTGCTCAGAGTCATCACAGTGGGCCTTTCCCTATGCCAAAAGGAGCTGTGGAAAGCCATCTTGAAAATGTGTCTAGTATTTGTAGAGGGAAACCCTTCCATGAGGTTAGTCCTTGCTGTATTTTGCCCAGTACATGCTAATGCTGCTTTCTTTTTTTTTAATATTTTGTTATTTTTTGTGTATGAGTGTATTTGCCTACATGTGTGTAAGTGCACCCATGTCATGCAATACCCATGGAGTTCAGAAGATGGTGTCAGATTCTCAGAAGACAGTGTCAGACCCTCTGAAACCAGAGTGAGAACAGTTGTTAGCCGCCATGTGGTGCTGGGAATCAAACCTAGGTCCTCTGCAAGGGCAGTTAGTGCGTTTAACCACTGAGCCATCTCTCCAGCCCTGCAAATGCTGCTTTCTGGATAAATGTAGGACTAGTGGCTCTTCTTTCTTCTATGAATGCCTTTGGATTTTCCTGTATGAAAACAGGGTGATTATAGACATCTTCCTGGTCACTGGAAAAGTAAAGTTGGACCCTGTTGGAGGCTTTATCACCAAAGTCACACTTCCTGAAGAAGTCAGAACCCAGAGTTTCTGTCCCTTCTGGTGTTGTGTCCAGTGGACATCAGTAGATGGCTACCAGCCAGCATGGAAATTGTAGCATTGGAAGGGGACTGGGAGAATGTGGCTGGTTCCCAGCCTCTTATTTTCCCATTATACTGGAAGGTTGTGTTCATTTGAGCTTTGAAACCAAAAATAAATCATTGTAATCCATTTACTAATTATACCATGTGAAGTTCTAGACACTGTAAATTGCAGCCACGATATATCTAGATGAAGCTTCGAGGAGTTTATTTTTAGCGATGCTGAAAGCATTCAGCTTCCTAGAGATTTCATTTGCCAGCCTGGGAGGGGACATGGCATGGCACAGCCTTCTTGTCCCTCTGGTGGTCCCCTGTGACAGGAGGTAGTTGTAGTAGTTCTGCTTGAAGCACTTGTCTACCTTCAAAGCTCTCTCATCTTCTGACTGTGGGGATTGGAATGTATCCAAAGTAAGCTTTCGATGTCTCATTCATTTGGAGAATATTTAAAACCACTACACCAACATGTCTGTAAGTCACAGAGCACAGTTCTTCAAAAATCTTAAGCTCAGGTCACTGTCCACCTTTCAGGTCCTCATCTCTTTGGATGGAGGCTATATTTATTTATTATTTATTACCTGTTATTTGCATTTGTGTATACTGATGCTCACATTTGACTGATGTTTGGATGGTTTCCCCAATTCAAGGCCAAGGTCACCTAGCCTGAATCCCTTATTGACATGCCAGACACTGGGTTTGATTATGAAGACATTGGAGAAGGATTGAGTGCACCTTTGAGCCCCAAAACCACCAAAGGAGGAGATGAAGGCTGAAATGAGGATGCCAAGGGTCCTCTTGAACTATGAAGTTCAGGATGGATGATGATATGCCAAGTGTGGACTCGCTGGCACAGATATGCTGAGGTGAAGGTCCAGGTTCATTTATACCTGTTAGGGGAGGGAAAACAGAATATTTCAAGGAAGAGGAGGCATTTGAGTTGGGCTTGATGTATAAATAGGATTTTAAAATGTGGAGATTGGGTAAGGAAATTGAACAGACCTAGTTTAGTAACCTTGGGCACTGTCCTGGCCAGATCACATGAATGGTGGGTGCCTTTTACTAGTCACACACTCACAAATCCTGAGCAGGACCTCTCCTTTTCCCCAAGCACTATGACTTCTAGTAAAATTCCTTCCATTTTAACAACAGCATCTTTTCAGAGTAAGCATACCAAAAATTTTTGGGAACAAATCCCTTTGTTTGGCTGTTTCTAGTGTTTAGACTTCTACATAAACAATCTAGCCTATGTATGTAACTTCTGGGGGATGAGATGGGCAAAATGGATGGTTTGGAATGGAGAACTTTCATGCTGAGGGATGAGAGGAATCACATTGACTAGTCTTACTAAGAGTATTACAGGAGGAGGACATACAGACCTGAGTCTTGACCAAAGAGTGGTTTTCACAACAGAGTGCGCCTAAAGACCTTCTATTGTCCCAGGGTCCCAGAATGGAATGTGTGGTGCTGTAGGGGAATGGAAAGCCCAGAGATCAAGGTCTAGGCTGGTGGCAAGAGTGAGGACTGCAGCAGCTAACACACATGCTCTGGGTCAGATGGACCTGGAGTTTGACCCCTAGTCTGCTACATAGTAGCTAAGTGATCCAAGGTGATTATATAGCTTTTCTAGACTTCTATTTTCTCATCTGGAAAACAGAATTAGTAACACCTACCTCAGGTAGTAATTATAGAGATGAAGAAAAATAAAATAGTCTTCAAGATGGTAATTGGCATGCACATAGTATGCACTTTATAAAGGATGGTTTGGGATTATTATTTTATGAAGTAGTTCTAATGAAATTGTGGGCATGCAAGGTCAACCACAGAGAGGGCAGGAAGAGCTGGGAAGGATTGGTGCCTTGGATGCTGGGGCAGGATGGTTTTCAGGGGAGTGGGCAGTGCCTGCTGCAGATGACTCAGAAAGGCCACCAGAATTGATAAGCGGTGCCTGGAATTTGCAGTGACATCATTCTGATCCTAACAAGAACATTCTAAGGGTGAGAGTCACAGCACCCCAATGTGTAAAGAGTGTAGGTAGGTGTAGGCAGAGTAGAAATGTAGACTGCTCTTTCAGCCAGACTCTGGGAAGGAGAAAAGAATGTGGGAAGGGGGGAGGGGACAGGGTCACAGGAAGGGCATTTGCTAGTGTTGGAACTCCAAATGTTTCTCTGATCCCCACCCACTACCTACACCACCCCATTCCAGAATTCCACCTGATGAGGAGATTGCCTCTGAATTTACTTCCAGGGCTTGTGTTTTAAATGCTTGTCAGACTGTAATAATGTTGGAAAGAAGTAGGTAAGACATGAGGGCAGCCTTGCTGGTGATCACAAGAGTGGATCTCCCGGGAGGGCAGTGACTAAGAAGACCTATCTAAGCAGGGCAGGGAACAAGAAGAAAAAGAAGTGGATCCAGTTTCCTGTGCTGAGGCAGCAAATAACTGCACTCTGAGTGTTAGATGCATGTTCATTAGCCACCTGCCCGAGTGACACCGTGGTGTCTGTTAAGACAGGCTTGTTAAAACCAAATGACAGATACTGTTGTTGTTTGAAAATTTCAAATGTTTGATAAACGTATGGTGCTGTCGTTATAAGCAAGAATTAGCCCTGTGGACCTCTTTCTCTTGTATTCTCTGTTTTTGTCACACACCCTCTGTGTCCATAGGTGTAATTTTAAAGGGGCAGGAAGGAGATATGTGGGTGTCTCTCTTAACTCCTTTCACAGGCGAGGAAACGGGAGTGCAGAGGGCTTCCAAAGAAACTGGCCTGAGTGAGGCTGGAGATGTGACTCATTTGGTACAGTGCTTGCCTAGTATGTTCAGTTCTATCCCCAGCACTCTGGAGGTGGAGGTAGGAGGATTAGAGTTCAAGACTATCTTAGCTACATTGTGAGTTTGAAGCCAGCCTGGGCTACATGAGACTCTGTCTCAAAAAAATCAGGAAAAAGAAAGAGGAGAAGAGGGGGGGAAGGAAGAGAAATTGTGTGTGTGTGTGTGTGTGTGTGTGTGTGTGTGTGTGTGTGATATTCTAGAGAGAGAGAAACTGGCCTGAAATCACACTCAGAAACCAGAAAAAGCATATACCTTCTAAGCATACATGTAACAGTCACAAAAACTGATTTTGTCCTAGCAATTAAAACATATCCCAGTAAATTTCAGGGAGTCAGAAACCTACAGACCATATTCTCCCATCACAATGTAATTAAGCTAGAAGTCAATAACAGGAAGATGAGGTTATTTTTTTTTAAACAATTGAGAGATTTTTTTACAAACACACTACTAACTCACTCTTGGGTTAAAAAGAAATGACAATAGAAATTATGAAATACTTAAGAACAATCAAAGAAACATTAAATATCAAAAGTTATGGAATACAGCCAAGATAACACTTAGAGGGAAATTTATGGCCTTCAGTGTTTATATTAGAAAAAAGAAAAGGGCTAAAATTTAATGAATGGACTAAGTATCCAATCCAAGAGCAACAGTGGACATAAATCAGCCAGCCGAGATCTGTGCAGTTGTTAGCAGAGCTAAGAATCTGGACACAGATACAGCTGGCCTGGCAGCCCATTCCCGTACCACAACCTCTGTTACTATTTCCCATAATATACCTAGTGACTGGATATTTTGTTTCTCTCCAAGAGCTGAAGAGATGAGCCTCTATGGAAGGCTGACGATAACCCTTACATTCCTTCATCCATCCTTCTCCTTGTTCATTCATACGGCATGTGTTGAACACTTAACTGTGGCCAGATATTGTTAGAAGTCACCTTCATGGTCTCTTTCTTCAAAATCCAGTCTCAGCTTAAGGCAGAACTAATGCTACGGCCCATGCTGCCCATCCCCCCCACCTCCAGCACCACCCCTAAGCTTCCAGAATTTTCTCTGCCACTTGTCAGAACAGCAATCGTCATCAAAAATGACTGATTTCTCTCTTGTCTTTTTCAACAGGTAGACTGAAATTACCATGTATCCAAATTAAAATTGCATACTTCAAGGATTATTTGAAGGACTATTCTTAGACCCTTTTAAGAAGATTTAAAGAAAAGTGAGTTGATTTTTTTTTTTTTACACTTCAGAGAGTATTCATGATTTAAGTTAATGTTATGGTGTTTTTTTTTTTTTTCCCTTCGCCTCTTAAATATGCACTAATAGGAAGACTATCTCCATTTATTTTATAATAAAGGGTTTTTCCCCCCCTAAGAACAATGAGCAAGGAGCATGCAATTATTGCTGTAATGATTTGCCTTTATTTTCAGAGGCTCAGGGAATTTCAGAGATAGAGGTGTGGACCCTGGATCCCTTGGATCTATTCCCATGGATCTCTGGTCTGGGCTTGGAGAGCTTCAAGAATTATTGGGGAAGCTGGTATCTGCCTTCATTCAAACCTTTTAGAGAGCTCTTTCACTATGTGGATTTGGAATCTACTCCCCCCAACCCCCGATCTTGCCAAATCTTCCCTATTAGACAAATCTTGCCAAATCTTCCCTATTAGCATACCTCCCCCTCACCAAAATCTTTTCTTACTCCTTGCACTTCTGATAACTCCTCAGAATTTCACTCCCAGAGCAACTCTTCTGTGCTCACTTTCTCTCTAAGCCAGCCAATGTTACTTTAAAAACTGGTGCCAGCTTGGAACATGGCCAGGGCACAGGCTTGACCCTGCTCAGGTGGGGAAGGAAGCCCAGTACAGAAGCAAAGCCTGGGTTCCAGTGCCAGCTCTGAGCGTGCTGAGCACTCAGGAAAACCACTGAGGAAGTGGAATGAAATGATCCCAAAGGTGCCTCTCCTCTCTATCCAGATGGTTTTGCTGATTCACAGTGAGGAAGTTGCTGCTTCTTACTGTCTCAGACACTGAAGTGAGTGGGGATTTGGGGAACCTGGGAGATGTTCAGGAACTGATAGTTCTGATGTTCATTAACTGGGGGTGGAATTATTTACCTTTAACTAAAAGAGAGGACAAGGGGTGGCAGTGACGCTAATAAAAAGAGGAAAGAAGATGTAGGCTTGCTTGTTACACATGAAGGAGAAGCATCCACAACTCATACACTCATGAAAAAGTCTAACACTGGAAAATGGATAAGATCAAAACTCTGCTTCTCAGAATCTGACAAGGATAGATTGATTGCTATGGAAACGCACAGTCAAAAGGGAAACTTCTTTGGGGTGGGTTGCAGACTGTACAAATTCTGCCACCTGCGAACCACTGTCACAGCTCCAGTCCTGGGCAGAAAGAGCCTGGGACCCTATAATTAGGGTCCTAGACCAGGAACCCTATAGTGAGGGACCAGGAACCATGTGAAACATCACATTTATTTATGTCTAAAAGGCCACTGAGAGCATCAGGTGCAATAATAAATGGGAATGAGTGCTATAAACTATAAAGTGTCCATGTTTTGATATGCTCTTAGATTATGCATGTTTAGGGTGTCTTTAATACTTTGAAAATCAGCACAAGGTAATAGAATCCAGCCCATGGAATTTTTACATACATGTACATGTCTATATGTATATTCGTGTACATTATCGTATGTGCACAGGTGTGCATATGTGTGAGAGAGAGACAGTCTCCGGCCATTTGAAATGGTTCGTCTTTACACAGTGCCTGATTCCGTCCAAGGAGTATAACCCAAGACTTAAAGTTAGTCACCTTGGGGCCTAGAGACACGACTCAGCAATTAAGAACATTGGCTACTCTTCCAGAGGACCTGGGTTTGAGTCCCAGCATCCACATGGCAACTAACAATTGTCCATAAGTCCAGTTTCAAGGGACCTGACTCCCTCTCTTGGCCTTTGCAGGCTTTGTATGATAGGGTTGGGTGCACTTACATACATGCAGGCAAAACACATATACACATAAAATAAAAATAAATAAATAAAAATTAAAGTTAGCAAGACAGCCAATAAAGTTATGGAAACATTATTATTCCTGAGGAAACTGCACATGAGGATTATGATGAAGTGATACCACACTTCCATCGGAAAAGCTAAGATGGAAAGGATGGGCTTTACCCAACATCGTGAGCCATGTGAGGCCGCTGGAACGCACTGACATTGGTTAAATTGGGATTGGTATGCTGACACTGGAACACTGGGCAGCAGTACCAAGCGTCCCAAATGTAGGCCTGCCAGTAGTTCTATTCTGTGGGGTGTATCCATGAGGTCTACACACGTGTGTGTGATATAAACCCAAGAGACTCATACAAGTGTACCTGAACACATGCCGCACACAGTGAAATGGACAGTCTCTTTCCACAACCAGTGGTATGCTCAGCAATGCTGGTGACCCTCAAAAACATGAAGTTTAAAGAAAGAAAGAAGCCAGGCACAAAATTTTATGATATGCCTTTATAAAGTGCTAAAGCCTGTGAAACAAATCTATGCCTTAGTTATCCAGGCAATGATTACCTGTGTGGGAGGATTTGGTGTTTTGGATGAAATGGGAAAGGGCTTCCAAGGTCCTAATGTGATTCTGTCTTTTGATCTGAGGGCTACTTACATAGGGATATTTTTCTTTTTCTTCCCTTTGGTACTAGGGATTGAGTCAAAGGTCTCATACCTCATAGTCATATATGGTGGTAGGCAAGCAGTATACCACTGAGCTATATCCCCAGCACTCATGTGTGTGTGTGTGTGTGTGCATGTGTGTGTGTGTGTGTGTGTGTGTGTGTGAGAGAGAG